CTCTCCTGGCCTCAATGATAGGAGCAACTCCATCTTTGGTGCCTTTGATCCTCAAGCCAACACCACCAGCCAGGTGTGTTTGAGAAATCAAAAATTTTTATATTTTAGAAAAATGTTAGGATGGTGACATAAATTGTATAACAGGCCTATCATTTTCTGGGGGAAAGGCTACACCCCATTAGACTAAAATTGTTGCAGTAAAATGTATCAATATTTACATGGTGTGAGACGCAGCCTATCAAAGGTATGACAGTTTAAAACCAAGTGCATCACCAAGAGGATTTACTCCACACTGAGGAAAAGTTTACAGTGTTGAGAGACTTAGAGATTTTGAAATTGGGAGTGAACAGTTGTTTAGAAGACACAGCTGAGCCGATGACCAGTCATGTGACTGACCCAAAGGTGCACACACAGTTCCCTGGAAATTGACCTCAGCTGGAGGCATGCAGACAGACTGAGCATCTGTTGTTCCCAGCCCCCTGCTACATGCTAAGGTCACAATTATTTAGTTTTCCAGGACTGTAGAAAGAACACAACTTAGGTGTCTTAAAACAAGAGAAATTTACTGTCTGACAGTTCTGGAAGCTAAAATGAACCCCAGAAGCAAGGTGTTGGCAGGGCCATGCTCCCTCTAGAGCCTGAAAGGAAAAATCATCCCTTGCATGCTCTGGCTTCTGCATTTGCTGACATCCTTGGCATTGCCTGCATGCAGGCCTGCTGTCGTCACATGGCACTCCCCCGGTAGGGCCTCTCTCTCGTGGGTGCACCAAGCCTGTGCACTGAGACCCTGACCCTCTGCAGTGACCCTGTGTCCATGAAAGACCACATTCTGAGGCAACGGCAACTGGGAAACCAGCACATCTTTTGAGGGACACAGATGAACCTGTAACCACTGGTGAACCCTAATGTTATGGCCACAAGCCCTCGATTGCACTAACAGTAGAGTCGAGGTAGTCAGATTGTAAGTGTGATGAGAGTTTCTGAAAGAGAAGTATTAAGGGGACTCTGGTGGGAAGTTTTTACCCAGTTAATGTCTCCTCTGAAGAAGTGACTTTTTAAGGGGAGATGAAAAGATGAGCAAAACTCAGCCCATCACAGGTGGAGAAGAGGCGCAAACCCCCTGCTCTTGAGTGCCTGCCTCCTCTGCACTGGGCTTGTGCAGGACCAGGCCCCACAGCAGGGGAAGCCCCAGAGTTCTCCTGCCGTCTCGCCTGCCTCAGCTGGCCTTGCCCTGGGGCTCCCCCGGACCCACAGCCCTGCCTTAGAATCACCAGAGGCACAGGTGCAGAACTGCAGGTCCCATGACCCACAAGTGCATTCCTGGTGCGGTGCAAGACAGAAGCAGTCAGGATCTCTGCTTTCCTCTTTGGGACCTGAGTCAGTTAAAGTTTTCTGACCCAGAATCAGCAAAGTGCTGAAATACGCAAGTGGTTCGCTGGCCTCCTCCCCTGAGGTCGCGTAACGTTTTTTTACCAGGGCAGGCAGAGAGGCCTGTCTGTGAGGTTCCTGAGCAGTGCTAAGTGGCCTTGAAGCTGCCTAGTCTCCTCTGTAGAACCTGGGCTCAATCTCCACCCGCTCGAGGGGAGGGCGTAGGAGAGGGGCCGAGCTGTGCTCCACAGCTGACCAGCTCGAGAACCGTGCGGCAGACTTTGAGACCAGAGCTAAGTGGTCCGCAGCCTGGGGTGGTTGGTGGACTTTGATTTATACCCACAACATTTCAGTGTTTCAGTTAAAAGTGGGAGAGAACACCATTTTTGAGATATAACACAGAGAAAAGTGCACAAATCCTATAAATCCAGTTCAGTGGTTTTTCACAAAGCCGGCCCAGCTCCAGCAGGAGCCCAGTACCATCCTGTCCCAGAAGCCTCCGCCCCACCCTGTTCTCATCCCTGCCCCCGACAGATGCCCACCTTCCAATACCAGGAGTTGGTTTTGGTTTTGAGCTTCTGTAAATGAAATGAAGCAGCATGGATTTTCTGTCTGTGGCTTTGTTCACTCAGTCTTGTTTGTCAGGTTCATCCATGTGGTTGCTTATTGCTATAGTTTTATTTTCATCATTTTATATAATGTTGTATTAATATATTATAATTTTCTACTTATTCAACTGTTGAGGTACCTTTGGGTTTTTTTCCCAGTCTGGGCTATATAAATAATGCTGCTATGAATATTCTTTTGTTAAAATTGGTATATGTTTGTGAGACATAATACATTCCTTGTGGGAAATTGATACATATACACATCACATCTTGATCCTTTTCAGTTCTCCTTCTTCCCTTCCCACCATCTTCCCCATCCCTGATCCCTTTTCCATCTCCATAAAGTCTCTCTATGTTTCCTATATCTATCTTTTACTTTTCTCTTTAAGTTATTCATACTTTGGGTTTCTCATATAAGGGCAACCATGAGCTGTGTGACCTTCTCAGTTTGATTTATTTCCCTTAGCACTATGCCCCAAAGGTGCATCCATTTTCCTACAAATGACTCAAGTTCATCCTCCTTTGTTGTAAGTAGTATTTTATTGTGTATGTATATTACAGAATATTCTTGTACAGGTCTTTGGATAAACAAGTGCACATTGGGGAGGGATGTACAACATACTAACCCCCAAAAGAACTTGGTAGTTTGTCACCACGGTCCTGGCTCACGGTTGGTGTAAGGGATTCGGAGGCAGTTCCAGCTCAAGCTCTTTCCTGAGGCTGCAGTCATCTGCAGGGTGGCTGGTCTGGGGATGCTCCTCACGGCCAGAAGCTGCCGGCCTTCTTCAGTGTGCTTTCACTTCATGTGTCTGACTGTTCTGGGCTTGGTGGTTGGCTTCCTCGCCACTGTGAATGATTGGAAACTATACCTTTACAGTCGAGTTGGAAGTCACACAGCATCAGTTCTGCTTCACTCTTCATTGAAAATGAGCCTGTAGCCAGGGTTTAGCTCAGTGGTTCCGGTGCCTGTCTCTCAAGAGCAAAGTCCTGAGTTCGATCTCCGGTACCAAAAAGAAAAAAAGAAAGGAAATTAGCCTCTAAGTCCAGCCCAAAACCCCAAAGGCACAAGATGTAGAAAGCAGAGATCAGTGGCTCAGGGTGTAGTGAGAGTTGTGTAGACCTATTTTAAAACCACGTAAGCATCACAACATTTTAAAGCTTGGAATTAATCATGTGAGAGATCTAAAAGTAAGAGAAGTGTATCAAAATTCACACAACACTCTATGAGAAACAAGCTCACTTAAAATTTATTTATTTAAAATTTTGTGAATGACTACAGCAGAGTGCTCAAGTTATTTCCTGGAAGCAGCATGGTGCAATTAGAAGGACAAAGCCTTGGAGTCAGATATACCCAAGCTCGGTTTTCTGTTTAATTTTGTATTTTAGTTTTTGTGGTCCTGGAGGTTGAATCCAAGAACATGGTAAGCAAGCACTCTGCTTCTGAGCTGCATCCCCAGATTTCCCAAGTTTGAATACTGGATTTGGATTCACTAATTGCTAATTATGGGTACCTGGGCAAGTCAGCCTCTTGGATTCTCCCATTCCTTCAACTGTAAAATCAGGAAAACCAATGGATCTTACATCTCTAGAAGCAATTAAATAAGACAGTACGTTTATATGCACTCTGTGATGGTAGAATCCTTCCATTTCCTCATTTATCAGGAATTTATTAACTATCTACATTACCTAAAAAGTACCATACTGGACACTGTGAGTGATACAAACCTGACTCAGATACAGGCCCTACCTCAGGAGGTATACACTCTAGCAGGGCATTGAGAGGCAGAACAACTGGAATGCATTTGAGAAATTAGTGTCTGGAGCAGGTATGAGCTCAATCTTTTAAATACAGATCAAATTTGAGTATGTAAAAATGGAAGAAATTTTGAGGGGTAAGAAAACAGCAAAAGTTGCTCCAAATCAGGGTACAGCTTATATAAAGACAAAGCTAAGAAAACCATAAGGCATAAGTGAAAATTTAAGAGTAATCTATTACCAGTATGTCTACACATAATGTGGTGGAAATAGGAATAGGAACGTACACACACATGAAAGTAAAAGAAGAGACGAGAATATATAGACTCTGTTTTTCAGTCTAATGAAAATCAGTAAGGCCAAAGATTTTTTAACCAGTTTTTTGAGCGGGCTGCAGTCCTAGCTACTGAAGGTCTGTTGCTGTGATTTCCTTGGCTAACTCCTGTTTGGAGAATCTTTGTGCCTTGGACAGTCGATGCAGCTTCCTAAAACTGATCCTTAGAGAGTGCTCTGACCCAAGCAACTGAGCTTTGTGCTTATCGTTCTGCTTTTGGAGTCTGTGTCCGTGGCAAAGACATGGGGTTGTTTTTACAGGCCTCAGCTTGTGTAAATGTACTTTTCACGACGTGGCCATTCGGAACTGGCCGGTTCATGCACTTAGCTCATCTGTGTACCTGACTTCTATGTCCAGATAATGAGCTGCTCACTGTGCTTACTTCCCTTCAGGAGGATCTATTTAGCGGCCTCCACTTCTGTTACATTACCCAGGCCCAGGCAGTGATGATATTTAGACATAAGACAGAGACATTTCTATGCTCTGAGGGAAGTTTGAGTGGAGTTAGCACCAATGACCTTTCACTCTGAAGCCAAAGCATAACAAGCATACATTTTTCAGTCTCACTGAGGATAGAGGCCATGGAAATTAGCAGAAAGACTTCTCTTCTAAGCCCTCTGTTGAATGTGATATCCAAACTATTTATGCCATGATGACGTCTTGTCTGGTGTAGCTCCCTTATCCTGGCGCAGCTTCTGTGCTCCGTCATAGTGGATGTGGTTGTGACCATTATTGGTGATTTTTAGGCATCACATCAATGTTCCATGCTTTCTTCTAGTGAGTTCCACAGTCTGAGAAGGGAGGATAAGTGCCAGGCCTTGGACAGATTTTCCGAGCCAGTGTTGGGGCCAAACCTCTACATTCCAGGAGTCATCTGAGCTCATGGACCTGGGCCCTGCCCAGGAACTGAGCATCCTCTCTCCAACTTCTCCTAGGTGGGAAACTGGCCAGTGGAGTCCATGCAGCCTCACCTGTGGGGTCGGCCTGCAAACCAGACACGTCTTCTGCTCCCGCCTGCTCTCCGGGGAGCTGAGTGAGAGGGTGACCCTGGCTGACCCGCTGTGTCCGGGCCCCAAGCCCAGCACAGTGCAAGTCTGCAACCGCTTCGACTGCCTCCCGGCCTGGTCCCCCGAGCAGTGGCAGCCGGTGAGTTCTGAGGGTTCTTGGGCCCGAGCTTTTGTTTACAAGAGTGATTTGAGAGTAAGGGTTCTTCAGCCTATAGTTTTGCCCCATTAAAGGAACATCCAATGTCTTCTCATCTCTCCTTTGTTAGTACTCCCATGACCTCATTCAAGTCTAGAACTTTAAATTATAAATATCCTATTCTTTCTGGTTTGTTGGTTTGTTTGGTTTTTTTTGAGGAGGGGGTACTGGGGATTGAACCCAGGCTCTTTTTATTTGAGAAGAGTCTCGCTAACTGGCTAAGTTGCCCAGGCTAGGCTCAAACATCTGATCCACCTGCCTCAGCCTCCCAGGGTGCTAGGATTATAGATGTGCACCACCAAACCCAGACCCTATTCTTTTTACTGTACCATACCCCAGTGATCGCCAAAAGCAACTCAAATAACCCATCTGTTAACTGGAGCATAGTCATTAAAAAGCTTTCACCAAGATATGGAAGATTGGGCAGAATATGGTAAGTTTTCCCATAAACCTAAGTTTGTTCTGACTTTATGCACTTTCTAGTTTTTGCTATTTAAAATTCTAGAAATAAGGTAATGATTTTTTAAACATTATTACTTAAATAAGTTAGAAATCTTGAGTAAATTTCAGATTTTTGTTTTGTTTTTCTGATTGTGTAAGTTCTAAAAGCCTAGAAACTGTTGTGTTAAAGCAAGGCTTGGCAAACTGTACCCCACAAACTAAATCTAATTTGCAGCCTTTCTTATAAATAAAGTTTTATTGGAACACAGCCATAGGCATTCTTTTACATTTGGTCTGTAGCTGCTTTTACACTGCAACTGAAGAATTTTATGGATGTGACAGAGATTATATTGTCTGTCCCTAAAAAGAAAGTCTGCTACAAAGGTCTACTATCTAGAATATGTAAAGAACTCAAAAAAATCAGACCCCCCCAAATATAAAGACCCAATTCAAAAATGGACATCTGAAATGAACAGACATTTCTCAGACAAAGAAGTAAAAGCAGCAAATAAACATATGAAAAAATGTTCAACATCACTGGTCATTCGAGAGATGCAGATGAAAACAACACTGAGATTCCGCCTCACCCCAGAAAGAATGACTGCTATCATTAAATCAACCAATAACAAGAGCTGGCAGGGTTGTAGGGGGAAAGGAACACTTCTTCATTGTTAGTGGGAGTGCAGACTGGTGCAGCCACTGTGGAAATCAATATGGAGATACCTCAAAGAACTAGGATTGGAAGTCCCATTTGACCTAGCTATTCCTTTACTGGGTATCTTCCTAAAAGAATTAATCATACCACAGTGATATATGTGCACCCATGTTTATAGCGGCACAGTTTGTAATAGCTAAAGCTTGGAAGTAGCCCAATTGCCCATCAACTGGAGACTGGATAAAGAAGATGTGGTTTTTTAATAAAATGGAGTATTACTCAGCCATAAGGAATGAGAAACTGTAGTCATTTATAGCTAAGTGGATGCACATTGAGCCCATACTTGTAAGTGAAATAAATAGGACACACACGTGTAAATACTGAATAGTTTCTCTGGTGTGAAAAACTAAAAGTGTAAATGAGAATCAAAATGTATAATTGATATTGTGAAATAGGAAGAAAATGTTTAAAGGAATGAGGAAGTGGGAGGGGAAGGGGAAAGGAAAGAAGGGAAAAGAAAAAATATGAGAAAAGGAAAAACATGGAAACAAAGTCTTTGTAAATAGGGAAGGGTGGAGGGGATGAAGGGAGGGCAGGGAATGGGGAAAAAATAAGAACCAAGATATATCATATAAAGGTACAAGATCCCAGTGATGAATGTAACTTTATTTTATACCTAAAATGTACCAATAAACTTAATGGAAAAAAAAAAGTCTGCTAAACTTAAACCAAAACATACATTATAATAATAAAAACACAGCTATTCTACTGTTACATCCCATTTTAAATCGATATATATTTGTCAAACTTTATAACTGCTTTTAAAAAACAAAGATTTTAGATTGATTGGAGGAAAAATCTTATTTTGCAATCTGCTCCTCATTAGGACATCACACATAGCTTTAAAGTAACAACAAAGGCCACAATGAGTAAGCCTGAAAGGTGGAGGGCATATGTATCCCTGCTTGACTGAGACTGAGTTTTACTCTCAAAGGTGTCCCTGTGGGATAAAAAGCTTTGTATTCATTCATCTAAGAAGGCGAGAGCACAGCAGCTTACACACCTTTGCCTCAGTGCTAAGAGCATTGCCACTTCCGTGTAGCCCAAAGTCCACCATGCTTTTCCTTCCTTCTTTCTGTTCTTCTCCCTGTACTTTGTGGTTTACTAAAGCACTCAAAGAATCAAATAGCAACATGGGAGCAAACACCGAAGTACAGCTGGCCTCCACATTCAGTTTGCATGCCTTTGAACTCAACCCACCATGGCTCGTGTGCTTTAGTGGGTCCCACGGTCCTTGCCTCTGCTCCGTGTAGATTTTTTCCTTTATTCTCTAAACAATGTAGTGTAACAACTACTTATATAGCATTGGGTATAGTATTGGGTACCACAAGTATCTAGAGATGCGTTAAAGTACACAGAATAATTATGTGGAAGTCTACACCTTTTCTAAATGATAAGAGACTTGAGCGCTCATGGATTTTGGTCTTAGAGCCAAATCTGAGGAAGATCTTACCAGTGCTTTACAGATACTGAGAAATTGCTGTGTAAAGAACAATAAAACAGCTAGAAACAGACATTGACTGTGTATTTTCTGGTAGCACTTAAATGTATATAGCTAGTTCATCAATTCCATAATACTGTGTGATAGTTTTTGGAAGTCAAGAGGATGTAACATACTTTGAACACCTATCAATGTACCACTGTTTTATTTCATACCTAGTTTAAGTTAATTCTCACAACAATTCTGTGAAAAATATCTTTTATGATCCTCATTTTAGGCTTGAGGAAAGTGAGAGTCACACAGGTAGCAAATTTAGAAGAGGCCATCAGCCAGTTTTATGTGACCTCTGGCACTGTTGCTACACAGCTGTAGGGGCCTTGTCTTCTAGTCGACACAACCATGGCTGATATAGTCTTGTTCAAGATCATGAAGCCTGGACCAGAAACTCTGAAATTCTGGCTTTATCTTACTGATATGTTCATTTATGGTTATGGGTCATAATATTGTCCTATCAGTGGAATTTGGTAAAATACCACACTCTTTTCAGTAGCCACATGTGCTCTTGAAAAATGATTTTGACCCATGTGCTTTTTGATTTTTATTAGATATCCACTCATCAGTTGCCTCTACCACCAGCCCTACATCCAGTGCCCTGTTTGAAGCAGCAGATTCCCAAAAGTCACTATGTTTCTGCTTCATCTATGGTGGGCCTAGAAAGACATGAATTTATTTTGAAAGATTTTTCTATTCCCTTCCACTAGCAAGAACCCTTTGGGATGAGACAGGTTTAGATCCATTTCTCAGATCAGGAAACATATACTAAACAACTCTGAATTTCATTCAATGAATTCACGATTATACTTTAAAAGACCTTTAAAAAGCATCTTCTTTCATTTCTGATACATAATTATGAAAAGTATTCAAGCGTGACAAAAAACAAAGAATATAGAAAGTGAAAGCCACCAGTGATTCCACCCCCTGTTAATTGTTTGGTGCAGAACCTTGTTCACTTAGAAGAATCTCTCTTAACCCAAGGAAGCAAACTATTCTTCCATTGTTTCCTAGAATGCTACTTCTTTCATTAAGCCCTGTTAGACAAAATCAGCAGTTACTGACCACTTGTAAAAAAAGAAGAAATCTGAATTTTCCAGAAAATACCCAAGAGAAGTATAGCTGGGTTGAATGGAAATTTTATTTTTTGTCTGAAACAGTCTTCATACTGTTTTCCATTAAAGGTTGCACTACTTTACATTTCCACTAATAGTTAGAATGATTCCCTTTTCCCCACAGCCTCACCAGCCTTTGTTGTTCTTTTTTTTTGTTTTTGTACCAGGAATTGAACTTGGGACCTTGCACTTGCGTGGTAGGCAGCAGAACCACTGAGCTAAATCCCCGTCCCTGTTCTTTGTGTTCTTGATGAGTGTCATCCTTACTGGAGTAAAATATGTGTATAACTGTTTTTGCAGCACCACAACTCCTAATTGCCAAACTATAGAAGAGTCCGGATGCCCAAACACAGATGAGCCAGTAAAGAAAATATGGTATATTTACATCATATAGTATTCTTTGGCCAGGAAGAAGGATAAATTCAAGTAATTTGTAGGAAAATGCATAGAACTTGAGACCACAATGCTAACTGAAATAAGTCGGACACAGAAGGTTAATTATCCTATAGTTTCTCTTATATGATTAAACCCAAAATACCAATAAAGAATAAAAAAGGTGAGATGGTAGGAATGGGAGACACACTTCCCGAAGACAGGGAAAGGAACAGGAGAGGAGAAGAGGAAGGGGAGGAAAGGGTATGGAAAAATGACCAAATTGCCAGGGCTATCTGTACCAATTTTCCAAAATGAACACAATTATTATATATCTAAAACATATGCCAATTAACTGAAAAGAGAGAGGAGTCGTCACTTATGCTACCTGTGCAGTAAGTCAGGAGTGAGTGCGGTGTCCCCAGGCCAGTGATGGAGACCTCAGAGCTTTCAGTGATACAAAGAGCTCTCTGCGTGCCATACCTCCTATTTGTTTTTAGTTTTCATCACTGAAACCCAAGACCTCTCACTGAGCTACAAACCCCAGCCTTCCTTTTTTTCTTAAAGACAGAGTTTCACTAACTAAATTGCTTGGGCTTGAACCTATGACACTCCTGTCTCAGCCTCTAGAGGGCTGGTATTATAGGCTTGTGTCACCATCCCTGGTTTAGAGCCTTTTTTTATATGAAAGAAAAGGAGATGGGGGGATCAACCCTCCATTTTAAAACAACCACCACCACCTGAGAGACATTGGCCTAATCGATGGGAGAAAGGACCTTCTTGCTGTTTGAACACAGGGTCACGGCTG